CTGGTTCCCTGCTCGGGTTACGGCGCACTCTCCGCCGGGGCGGCTTCACTTAAGTAATTAGCCAGTAAAAATACCTTGGGCTCGGGGAGTAGGAGACATGGCAGGCGTGTCTGTTTTTACACCCCCCCACCCCAATTTAGGATTCCTGGGGCTAAAGCTGGGGCGCAGATTTGATTTGGGATGGGAGGGGTGTCTTTATGGATCTCTTTAAGCTAGGAAGAAAAAGCTGCCCACATCCCTGTCTGTATTTTCTCCGCCTGCTCCATGAGCTGGGCCCCGGGGGGTTTTGTTTGTTTCTGTCTCTAGGATAGCCTAAGTCTTTCTCTGCACTCGCTTGCTCAATGCTCACAACGGCCCTGAGAATAAGTGCCGTTATCTGTCCCCTTTTTAGATGAAAAACCTAAGGTACACAGCATGATGACTACAGTTAATAATACCGTACCATACGCTTGAATGTTGCTAAGAAAGTAGATCTTAAATGCTCTCACACACAAAAGAAATGGTAACCGCGCGTCGTCGGGATAGAGGTGGCATGGAGGAGTGAGGAATGCGTGGTGGCGATCGTTTTGCAAAACATAAATGTATTCAATCAACACACTGTACATTTTAAATTTACACAATGTTATGTATCCATTATATCACAATAAAGCTGTTAAAAAAATCAACCAACAACCATCTCCCCTCACCAAAATAAACTAAGGCACTAATAGCTTATGTAACATCCCTACATGGTGAATGCTGGATTCAAATCTGGACCACGACAATTCCCAGCATGCAGGCAGAGGGTCTCTGCCTTTTCCACTGCAGACCCTCACTCCCCTGTGGCTTAACTCCTGGTTCTGTGGTCAGATCCGGATTTGCATCCTGGCTCTGCAGGAAGCCCCAGGGTACGAGAACTAGGGCTGGGGACCATCTGTAAAGGGAAGGATAATATCGACCTCCTCAAGGCTTCTGTGAAGATTAAACAAGTATCTTTGGGGCATTTAACCTGGGTCCTGGGTACATAGATGGGAGGTATGGGTTCATGGACAGGCTCCAGGTGTTTGGTGAGACCTTGAAAACCACTCTATGAATGTCGCGCGTATGCGCCTTCTGGGGGTGGGAGGGCGGAGAGGATCTAGTTTTCAGTGGTCTGTCAAAGGGATTCACACCCCATGGAAAGGTTAAGAACATCCAAGGGGTGTTGATAAGGCTGCGATCAGCACCTGGCGCAGCCAGCGGTTGAGCTTGAGAAGTCCTATTACTGGCACTGTGTCTGTGACAGCTATTACTATTTTATCACCTGCTCTCCCAAAGGTCTCTCTGCGCCTGTGTACCCGGGAAGCCAGGGGCTTGCAGGGAGGGCCGCAGAAGCTTCTCTAAACTCACTCTCTCCACCCTCCACCTGCACTGAAGCTTCTGGGGGAGGGTCTGTCCTTGGGGGTAGAGAAAAAAGATGGAGAGGTGTTCGCTGGGCAGCGCTGGCTGACCCAGGCCAGGTCCTGGGTGGGCCTCAGTTTCCCCACTTCAAAATGTAAGATCAAGTGAGACTTCTCTGGGCAACTTAAGAGCTGAGAGCCTCCTTTCGGGGCATACAGAAAAGCCCTCCTTGCTATGGATGTGGTTTTCCCTACAATTGGGGTGGGTGCCCTCCAAATTACAGAGCTGGGAGCTCGTCTCCCTTCCCCATCTTCTCACACTCCCACCTTTGCCTCCCTCCTGGGTGGACACAGGGCTTGGAAAGAGCTTCCATCTGCTTCATCGCTGAGAATCTGCGCCACTCGGCCCCCTGTCCCTGGGCAAGGTAACTGCTGCCCCTTCCCTGCAAAGTCTGGTTTGCTGTCAGAGCCTGAGGGGTAAGTGGAGGCCAGGTGGGGCCCCAACTCCACACTTCCTCCCCAGGAAGGCAGAAGCCCCCCCACCCCAAAACACACAGGAGCCCCCAGGGGAGCCAGTGAAAGACCACCATGTGCTGGAGGGAGGGAATGCTCTGGGGGTTTAGCCAAAGATGGCATCTGCAGCCCCCTCCCAAATGGAGAGGGCCCAAGAGGGAAAGGGCTATACTGGAAAAAAGGCCCCCCAATGCAAGTCCTATAGAGCCCCCTCACTCTGAAGGCACCCGGTCAGAGAAATGGAGGCATTTGTCCTCCCGATCTCTGGGAGCCGCAGGGCAGGGCTGCACCCTTAGCAGGCTGGGGAGTGGGGCAGCCTCCCCCACGGGCCTCTCTACGAAACACCAGATGTGCTCCCAGCAGTTGGCAGGAGCGACCCCTTCTCGGGAACTTCCCTCCCGGCACCGCCAGGGCCTCCTAGCCTGCAGCTGCCGTTTGGCCAAAAAAAAAAAAAAAAAAAAAAGTGATGGAGAGAATGTAAGAATGCGTGCGAGCATGGACATGTGTACGCGCGAATGGAGGGGCTGTGCGTGGGCGAACGCACAGTGCAGGAGTGTGTGCACTTCACCGAAAGCGCGTCCTCTGTGGCGGGCAGGCCTGTGCTTTGGAGCAAGGCTCCTAAGCTGTGTGAGGGGTGTTCACTGAGAAGATGTACTGGAGGCTGTGCGCGGTGCTCAGGGTCTCAGTGGTCGGTGGATGCGGCTGGGCTGTGTGAAATGGGGATGGGTCTGCGGGCGTGCGCCCACCTGTGCGAAGATACAGCCACACACAAACGTTCCACAAACCCTTCCCCTAGGCAGGGGAGCCCAGTGGAAGCGCAGGGCGGAGAAGGAGACTCTCTCGGCTCCCGCGAGCGCCACTCGGCCCGGGAAGGCAGCGACCGCTGGGCACCTTACGCCTTCAAGCCCCCCAGCTCCTAGCACAGACGTGCCAGGCGCCCCAAAGGCGACGAGGCGTCTACCGCCGTGGCTGAAGGCGTCTGAGCGAGGAGGGGCGACAGCAGGGGACAAGGAAGCCAGAAGAACCCGAGAGGACGGTGGGCTTTGAAAAGCGCGGCAGGACCGGCGCACTCCGAACCTCCCGGCACTCCTGGCATCTGTGTGTTGTCCAGGCTCCCGCCAGGGCAAGCCATCTAGGCTCCTCCCGACGGCCCTTGAAAACTTCCCTCTCCTCCCTACACTCGACCCAGGGCCGGGGCCAGAGAGGCTGGGCTCGGTGTCCTGCAGTCAGCGCGCGAACAGCACTCACCTGGGTCCCTGCTTGCTGTGTCGCGCCCAGCTCCTGCGCGGTCCCGCGCTCGGCGCCGCTGTCCTCCCACCCAGCCCTAGCCCGCACCCCGGTACTGCGAGGGAAGGCGTGCGTGCGAGCCCCCTGCTGCGGACAGCCTGGCGCGAGAGGGCCGCCGGGGCCTGTGCTCCCCGCCCGCGCAGACGGCTTTCCGGAACCTGGCCTGGCGCGCAGTGTCAGAGGCCCCGCGGCAGCGGCAGGCCGAGCCCACAGGGGCATTAGGCCAACTCCCCCCGCGCACGCGGAATTCTCTATTATTATTATTAAAGAATCCCCCAGAACGTGTTTACGTTGAGCCGTATAAACTTCCTGCCAGGGCCTTTACCATCTATGAGAAATCGGAACCTGTTCTTGGAAAGTGGGGACACCGGAGCTTCGGGGCCAAATGGGCGGATTTTCATTGTGTGCGTGTGTGTTGGGGGGGGGGGACCCTGGGCAGCATGTGGGTTCAGATCCGAACGTGGCTAGTGTACACGTGAATGAGAGTAGGTGAGGATGGAAGCTCCCGTGGGCCTATTGTGTGCAAGTGAGTGAGCGCATTACTTGGGGCATACGTGCCTGAGCGAGGTGTGTGCCTGAGTGGGAAGGCTCGCATGAGTGTGAGTCTGCACTTCTGACTCTTCGTAATTTACCGGGTTTGCACGTGCACCAATGCATGCATGCGTGTGCGTGAATGAGCGAATGAGCGGGGCCGCTTGTTCCAGGAGACTTGCATGATTTTGGGCCCCACAGGGCCAGCGGTTCTCACTTGCTCCCGGCCGGCCCGCGGAGCCCGAGACAAAGCGGCAGCGACCCGCCCTGAGCTTTCGTTTTCCGCCCGGGCTCGGCACCCGCGGCTACCCGCCTGTTCGCGCGCTTCTGGGCGAGTCCAAAAAGTCCCGGGCGCAGCGCAGTCCTTCCCGGGGCGGGGAGAGTGGGTAGGCGGTCCCTCACGGGAACGTACGCCCGCTGGCCGCGGGGACCCGTGGCCGAACCGGCTGTGCCCGCGGTGGCCACAGCCCGGTGTCCGCTGCCGCCGCTGCAGTTGCGATCCGCCACCGGGCTGTGCGCGTCGGAAAAGGCCCCGGGTGCCCGCGGCTCCGGGCGGGGAAGGAGGGGGGCCTGCGCAGAGCGGGGCTGAACCGCGGGCGGAGGGCGCATTAACACTTGCTCGCCAGGTTGGTGGAGGCGGGGCGGTTTTGCAGGCGGCCGCCGGGCGGCGAGGGTGGGGGCCCTTTAAAGCGCCCACCAACGCGGGGCCGGAGGGGGGCAGGGAGGGGAGGGAACTCCTGGAGGGTCTTAGGCCGGCCCGCGAGACTCCGCAGAGAGAAGATGCAGTGAGGACGGCCTGGCTGGAGTCGTGGAGCCGAACGCCACGGGTGGCGGGGGCCAAGTGCTGCTCCCCGCGGGGGCGCACGGCCGCAGGCCCCGGAGGTGGTGCCTTCCCCAAAAAACCGGCGAGGGGGGGGCTTCCTCGCGGCCTCTGCCGGGGCTGCAAAGAGGCTGCCCTCAGCCTCCGCTCGGCTCCTTCCCTAGTGGGAGGGCGAGGGGGAAAGAGGGAGGAGAGAGAGGTGGGGGAGGAGGGAGCTGGGGAGAGGGGGGCTCCGCGCCAACCGCCGGCGGATCCAGCAGCTCCTCGGGGAGGACAGGCGGGCGGGCGGGCGGGGGCGGGCGGGGGCGGGCGCGCCGAGGCCCGCTCCGGAGAAGTGGCCGCGGATGACGGCAGAGGTGCAGCCAGCCCCGCGCGCGCAGCCCCCTCCCCCTCGCCCTCCTGCCCCCCCTCCTCTTCCTCCTCCTCCTCCTCCTCCCGGCTCGTCGGCGGCGCAGAGCAGCGGCGGCAGCGGCGGCGGCAGCAGCCACCCGATGTCTTCGGCGCCCGAGAAGCAGCAGCCACCGCACGGCGGCGGCGGCGGCGGCGGCGGCGGCGGGGGAGGCGGCGCGGCCATGGACCCCGCGTCGTCCGGCCCGTCCAAGGCCAAGAAGACCAACGCCGGCATCCGGCGCCCCGAGAAGCCGCCCTACTCGTACATCGCGCTCATCGTCATGGCCATCCAGAGCTCGCCCACCAAGCGCCTGACGCTCAGCGAGATCTACCAGTTCCTGCAGAGCCGCTTCCCTTTCTTCCGCGGCTCCTACCAGGGCTGGAAGAACTCCGTGCGCCACAACCTCTCACTCAACGAGTGCTTCATCAAGCTGCCCAAGGGCCTCGGGCGGCCTGGCAAGGGCCACTACTGGACCATCGACCCGGCCAGCGAGTTCATGTTCGAGGAGGGCTCCTTTCGGCGGCGGCCGCGCGGCTTCCGAAGGAAATGCCAGGCGCTCAAGCCCATGTACAGCATGATGAACGGGCTCGGCTTCAACCACCTCCCGGACACCTACGGCTTCCAGAGCTCCGCCGGCGGCCTCTCGTGCCCGCCCAACAGCCTGGCGCTGGAGGGTGGCCTGGGCATGATGAACGGCCACTTGCCGGGCAACGTGGACGGCATGGCTTTGCCCAGTCACTCGGTGCCACACCTGCCCACCAACGGTGGCCACTCGTACATGGGCAGCTGTGGCGGTGCAGCGGCCGGTGAGTACCCGCACCACGACAGCTCGGTGCCTGCCTCCCCGCTGCTGCCTGCGGCCGCCAGTGGAGTCATGGAGCCGCACGCAGTCTACTCGGGCTCCACGGCCGCCTGGCCGCCCTCGGCCTCCGCAGCCCTCAACAGCGGCGCCTCCTACATCAAGCAGCAGCCCCTGTCCCCCTGCAACCCCGCGGCCAACCCCCTGTCTGGCAGTCTCTCCACACACTCCCTGGACCAGCCGTATCTACACCAGAACAGTCACAACGCCCCCGCTGAGTTGCAAGGTGAGTGGGGAGACCAGGGCTGCCCTGGTCCTGGGGGACTCCGACATCTGTCAGTGCGCTGAACCCAGCCCCCAAACCGCTGACCGCCCTGGGCGAGAGCTCGATGCCACTTCCGTGGGGTGCGAACCCCACTGCTGGGGGAGGCATCAGCTCTCCAGAGTCTCTCTCAGCCTTGTATGCCGCCCTTTGAAGGGTGAGTGCAGCTGTGGGGGGGGGGGCAATTTAGGCCAAGATAATTGTTGTTTCTCCTTTTTGGTTCCAACTCCCAGCTGCTGGTAGTCCCTAGCCTGGCCAAGTAGGCCCCTTCCTCACCAAAAAGACTCAAGAGCCCAATATTCTACATCTCTTGGGAGTCCTCAGCCCCCTCACACCTCACAGCAAGTTCCCAGGATGGAGCCCAAGCCCAGTCTTGGCCAGCTGGCTGGGCCTCCTCCGTAATGGGCACCGGAAAGCTGCCCGGGCAGAAAGGGAGAGTTAGGCCCAAAGCTGCCTGGGCTGGGGGCTCAGAGGCCCAGCACCCACACCTCCCAGGGAACCAGGCCTGGCTGTTGGGAAGGTCGAGTTGGGGGACATTTTGTGATGACAGAGGCAGAGAGGGGCTGTGGCCAGGCCCAGAGCAAGAGTTAGAGGTGCAGGCTCCACAGACTCTTTTGTTTCTGAGGATCCAGGCTTTCGGTTCCTCTCAGGTATACTCCCCCCTACCCCTCTGAGAAGGAGACGCAGAAGAGTCTCCCCTCCGGCACTCTCCTTTCCGCCCCCACCAGCCTCTCTGGGCCTGGTTCTGGAAAGGGCACGGAGGAGCTAAGCAGGGCCTATCAGGGCTCAGCTGTCAGCCACCCGAGGGAGGCAGGAGCCGGCCTGGAGTTTAGAGGGCCGCCTCTTCACGGGGATCTCCCTGCTTGGGCTGCTTCAAACTCCCAGCCTTTGCTGCCTCTCCACCCCTTGGGGGAGGGGGCTGTTCTCCAAGGGGCCCTTCCCCTGGAGAAGCCTCCAGCCACACCAGGGCCTCTGCAGGCTTTGGGGTTGGGAAGTGGGTGCCCCAGCACCAGGCACAGGCCTTGGGCTGGCCGTGGAGGTGGAGGCCAGACTCCCCTTGAGGTCTGCTGGTCCATGGCAGCCCCCTCACCCCTTCCCCTTCGGCCTCAGGAAGCCCCAGCCCAGAGCTCTGGTGTCCGAGGCGGGAGAGGCCCACACAGCGGGCATCCAGGGAGCAGGGGTCATTGCTGGGGTCCTGGGATCTTCTGCTGGAGCACAGAGCCTAGGGCCTGAAACCCGGGGCTGCCTGGACCCGCCTGAGGCCGGACCTCTGGGAGTCTGGCACCTCGGTGGGGCGTAGGGAGGCAGCAGGGCTGTGCGCTAGAGCCGGGTGGCGCGGCTTCTCCGCCTGGAGCCCTGGGCCCCGACCCTAACTGTGCTCCCTGCCCTCCTGTTGCCTCCTCTGCAGGCATCCCGAGGTATCACTCCCAGTCCCCCGGCATGTGTGACCGCAAGGAGTTCGTCTTCTCCTTCAACACCATGGCGTCCTCGTCCATGCACTCGGCCGGCAGTGGCTCCTACTACCACCAGCAGGTCACCTACCAAGATATCAAGCCCTGCGTGATGTGAGGCCGCCGCTGGCGGGACCCTCCAGGCACGGGCGGCCTGGCGCAGGGACCCGGAACCCATCGCAAGAAACTGCTTTATTCTTGAGGTATAACCGTAGGCAGAAGACAAGGGTTTGACCCCTACCCACCCGGATTATTTGGAAAGGAATCCCCAAGGCAAAGACCCAGCATGGTGGTCAGAATCTCCTCCCCCACTCCTTCAAAAAATTAACAAATGGTGGCTGTGGGGCCTGGTCTGACTGCAGCTGTTGGTAAATAAAGTATCTATTTTTGATCCAGTTGAAGCCCGCTGAGAAGGTGCTGTATTGGCGGAAACCTCAACATCTAAACAAGAATTCTGCTGAGGCCTCTCCCCACCTTCCCTCCAATGGCAAAAGTGGGGGAAGGTTTTCAGAAGAAAGGCAAACATGTGAGACCATCATTATCAAATACTTTTATTTTTTGGTTGAGTATTTATCTTTTAATTTTTAATTTTTTTTTTTTTTTGGAAAGAATGTCTTGGAATGCGCAAGTCTCCTCTTAGAGCCGTGTTTTGCAGGGAAGGGGGGGGCAAGAAATCACGTCTCCCTCCCCATCTCAGAAGCCCTCCAGCAACCACAGGTGGATCTTTGTGCGGACTTGCGTTTCTGAAGCCACTGTTCGTCTTACAAAAGGAAACCAGAAGGAGCCCAGAAGCAGGGGCTCCCGGGGCCTCTGCCCTCCCCTCAGCCCTCCTCTGCCTTCTCTACAGTCCTTTTGGTTTGTTTCCAGTTGCATTTTGACTTTTTTGGCGGGTGTTTTTCTCACAAGACCCGACTGTCTCCCGATCTCTACTGTAAAAAACGTGCTGGTGTGAGAGCAAGGGGGTCACAGCGCGGCGCGGGGACAGGGAAGGCCGGTGAGCGCGCGAATTCAGGATTGCGGCGACGCAGAAAGGTTAAGGCACTTTTTTAAACTATAGCAAGGCTCATCCTGTTATTTATTCTACTTTCTTTCCCTAATAATCGAAACACCGCATAGGCTCCTCCGTTTATCAGTATTAATGGTGTAACTTTGTTGGCAATATTTGCCGCGTAGAATTTTTTTTTAGAGATCCATTGTAAATTTGAAACAAAGTCCGATCTGTGTAAAAACAAATTTCCATATGTTTATATAAATATATATATAAAATGAAGGACTACCCCCTTTTTTTAGTATTTGGCTGCTGGGGTGCAGCGTTTGTGACACGTATTTTAAATTTCCTTCTGCACTGTATAAAATGACAATTTGAGGATGTTTTGCCTTTTGTGTATTTTTTCCTAAAAAAAGAACAAAAATAAAAATGTATAACATTTGTACATTGCCGTTAACATTGTATCAACTAGAAATAAAATCACATGAGTATTTTATTGGGATTGGGATTGCAGAATATCTTCCAAACCCCAAAATATACACAGAAGCCAGTTTGGGATCTCTCTAGATTTGTTTGTTATATATGTAAAATATGGGTGATTCTGAATACTTTCTTCTTTTTCTCTTCTCTCCCCTCCTCCTCCTTCACTTCCCACCGAAGTGAAATCTGGACATGAGTAACTATTTTTCTTGGCTTCTGTTTTTTAAGAAGAGCCCTCTGCCCCCCTAAGTGTCATTTCTTGTTTTAAAGATATAATCAGATGTTGAAAGAAAAACCGTGCTCCTCCTCTCCCCAGGGAAAACCATATAGATAGAAGTATATATGTGATTTTTTTTTAACTTTTAACTTTTTTTTTTTTTTTGCCACCAATCAGTTTTACTTGGAGTTTCACGCTTACTGTTACCATATCCTAGCTGTTATAAATTATGAAACAACTTAAATTTTTTTGTACAGTTTTGGTCTTTTTGTTTTTGGAGGGTTTTTTGTTTTTGGTGCTCTACACTTGGTTTTCCCCAACTGAGAAGTGAGTGAAATTTAAGCAAGAAAAGGACCATTGGTGGGAGAGCAAGGTGACAAAAACATTTCCATTCAGTAACATCTTCCCCAAAGTCATTGTGGGGGGAAAACACTGTTTAAAACCTGTGTCTCCAGCCCACCACCCTCTTTCTATTCCAATTCCCGCTTACCTAAGAAAACAAACAGATCACATTGTCCGTGCGGCCATTCAGGACCCACCGCAGTTTCTGCCCGTCGTGGGGTCGCAAGCCTCTGAACCTGGTTCTTCTCAAATTTGACATTTTGGACTTGAGAGTAATTTCTCCAGTGCTCTGTTACATCAAAATTATCAAACTCGCCCAAGCAATTAATGTCCCAAACTAACCGCTGTCTATAAAACTGAGATAAAGGGTACAGGAAAAGTCCGGGGACTCCATCCCCGGGGTCTCTGGTGGGCCGAAGCGGCGGGGCCGCGGTCTCCCGGCGCAGTCCGCTGTTGCCCGCATGCGCCTGGCCCTGCACTCCGGGAGCACGTCTGCAGCGAGCAGAGAAGGCACTGTCCTCCTGGGGTGGAGGCCACCACAGCATCCCATCGGTGCCCAGGAAAACAAGGCCAGAGAAAATTCCCCGGGGCCTCCAGAGCAGAAACTTAGCGCTGCGCTTGCATCCAGGCAAGGACTGCAGGCGAGAGTGGGCTTCGTCCTCCCTCCTGCACCACGGAGACTGAGCCCCAGTTAGGACCTAGGCTCCGGGAAGCGGGGTTGATTAGGAGAAACCCAATGCCAGCCCAACCAGCAAGCTCCCCAGTCTCCAGCAACCTCTCCAGCCTCTGCACCCACTCTTTTGCGCCACCCCCCCCCCCGCCCCCGCCAACCCCGTCCACCAGAGATCTAGTGCCTTCTGACTGTGCTTGGCTTCAGTGCTGCTGGACCAGAGTCTGGGGCGGAGGTGAGCCCCGGCTTCCTGCTCAATCTCCCCAGCGGCACCCTGCGTCTCAGCGGGCTCTCCCACTGCTCCCACATCCCGGCCAGCCTGCGTGGGAGGCACGCAGAGGGGCCTGTGCAGGAAAACTGGCCAGGGAGCTCCAGGCTGGGCCTGGCCTCTGTCTCCCGGTCTGACCCAGGGCCTGGGGATGAGAGAAAAGCCTTCCCTGCGAGGAAAGCTTGGCTCGGAAAGGGGCTGAATCCGGACCCATGTTTGAGATTGCAGGACGCTGCTGCAGCGGCTGCTGGCACCTCTCGGAAACCCGCTCGCTTGGGCTGTATCTTCCCCGGGGCCCGTTTCATCCCTAATGTGCACAGGGGCCACGACACTGCTAACAAGAGCTGGAATTTGGACTCAGACCCAAAGCCCATGTCCCTAAAGCACTGTGCTCCATGGCTCCTGGTCACCCACGGGCAAGCTCCGACCCCGGTGCGCTGCGACTACCGGCGCAGCCCCACAAAAGCGTGCTGTGCATATATACAAGTTGCAATCTTTGAAATGTAAAGGCATTTCTGAGTTTGGTGCAAAACCATGCGTGCTGTGTGCATAAATGGGTATCATTCTAGCACAGGGGCATCCTAGGTAGAATTAATTCAAAAACCTGTGAGCATACCTCAGTGGGGGGCTGTCTTAGAACAATGCAGTCAAGCTGCTCTAAGTGTATGAATCCCTCCAGTAATAAAACGCCTGGAAGGGGGAAGTGGCTAGGGCTATGCCATACAATTTGTGGATTACACATCCCAGGGACTCCAGGGTTCTAGTCAGGGGAGGGGGCTGACGTCCTGGGCGCACCCTAGCCTCTGACCCATCGCAGACCCAGCAGCAGAAGTGCCCTGGCATTCTCCTGGCTGCCTAGTCCCAGGCGGGAAGGAACTGAAGGCCCAGCCAGCCCTCACACCATGGAGCTCCCTCCCTCCCTCGCGCCCACCTCTCGTCCACATCTGGCTGGAAGGTACTCAGGGTATGTGTTTCTGATGGGAAGATGCCTGGCCCATCAAAGCCCATCTGTCCCAGTTTTCTTCTCCCTTTGGGGCTGGAGAGCTGGGGACAAGGAGAGGCATAGGGGTGCATGAAGGCCTGGCTCCCTGCCTTCCAAGCCCCCACTAGCCGGCAGCCATTCCAGAGGAAGTAGAGAGATGAAGCTACAGTCCCTGCTCTGTCACCACGAAGCCTGGGCAAGCCCTATCACCTGTGAGCCTCAGTTTCCTTATCCCTAACAATACTGTCCTCACAACCTATGAAGGGCAGTGGCTAATATCCTTAGGAGCTCTGTGGCACCCAGACAGGGGTGGCCACAAGACCCACGCATGTCTCGCCCTGCTTCCCTAGAGATCTGCCAGTCTGTCCGAGGGTGTGTGTGGTAGGAGGGTGGGTGCCATACAAGATGCAAGATTCTGTACTTTACAAGGTCCTAGACTCAGGGGTTTCCAATGAGCACTCAGTTTGGGAGCCACTGAGCTCCCCATCTTCTGGCATGCTGCACCTGAGCAGACTCTGCTCCCTTCCCAGGGAGGACCTCCTAACCTCCAGGCCAGAAGACCTCTGAGCCCAATGACTTCATTTCTGATGGTGATCCTCAGTGTCGAACTGCCCTCATCTGAAACAGTTGGGGTGTCTGTTGAAACTGCAGATTGGGGGAGGGTGGCCCTGAGAGCTACGTGATTCAACTCTCTGGAGGTGGGACCCAGGATTCCAGTCTTCACAGATTTCCAGGGGTCCTGGTGACTGCTTGAGTTTGAAGTCTCTCCCCCCAGAGTTCTCTGGGCTCCTGGGAAAAGCCCTGGTGAAGGAGGCTCAGCCTCTGCTGCCCCCTCCCGCCCCGCTGCTGCAACGGCTCCGAGTCCAGGCAAGCAGACACGCAGCGGACGTTCATGTTCACAAGGCATTGCTGCGCGCTGGCCATGGCAAGTCCTCTTCCCACACACCCCTTGGCCCTTCTTGGGATTCTCTTAGGGAGGTCCTAGGACTACCCCTGCCTTCCAGAGGCAGAAACCGAGCATGGACAGTCAGGGGGCTTGCTCCAGACACTGCTAATAAGAGCTGGAATTTGGACTCAGACCCAAAGCCCACGTCCCTAAAGCACTGTGCTCCATGGCTCCTGGTCACCCACTTTCCTCCAGCCACCAGGCCTAGTGAAAAGGGGCAACTGAAGTGTGGCCCACGAGACCACTTCTGCTGGGGTCTCTCAACACAGGGCCTCTCTCAGCACGTCTGCCTGGGAGCTGGCGGTGTGGTCACGCTGATGGCGTGGGGAGACTGGCCCAGCAGCCCGAGCTCACACCCCTGACATCCACGTCCTCTGGCACAATGGACTTAAGACTTCATGGGCTTCCACCCTGGCCCCCCGTGAAAGCCCCCTTCGCTTCCTTTGGCCCCCTTAGTCCAGAGGAGGGAAGCTCAAATGAAAGTTGAAACTCAAGGCAACAGAGGCCAACTAGGGTAGCACATGGGGCTGTGCTTCCCTGTTCTGCTTCTGGAATCTTCTGGGCATCATGTCAGAACCCTGGGCTGTTTCAAGAAGAGAGGCCTTTGCTGGGCATCTCCAGCAGACAAGCCATATCCACTCATGAGGGTACACAGATGGATTTTAGGACCGAGACAAATCACAGGCCTTTCTCAGTGTTG